AGGGATCCTTGGCGGAGGCAGCCTCAGGGTAAGGGCTGCGCCGGGGGGGAATGTTAGGAGAAATTTGGGGCACACAAGGGAAGAAAAGGGGATGAGAAGAAGTAGTGTCAAAGGATAGGGGGGGGATCGCTAGTGAAGGCAACCTCGCACTAGGATCCACTCTCTGAGGAAGAGGTGAAAAAAAAAAAGTTACCGTCTGTGAAGATGTTGCACATCCAGGAAAGAATTGAAAGGAGGTGGAGAAGCAAAAGGAAGAGTAAGATGGGATAAATAGGTCTTGCCTGGGAAGTGGAGTAACCTGCAAATGAGTATTCGTGAGCGCTGAAGGAACTGAGGAAGGTTAAGTCAGCTGTTTCAAGCCATTTCCTGGCAAAGTTTGTTGGTTTATTCTTGTTGAAAAGATTGAAATGTGTTGTAGCTATTGAGGTTGTTAACAAAACAATGCATGCAAAATGTTTTGAGTAAAGAAAGCTTTTAAAAACTCTTGAGGGGGAAGTGTGCAGAGAGCAGCCCATCTTGAGTCGAAATCTGGTTAGAAGAGTTACAGCATTACTTACCGCAATTACACCTGCATTTGTAAGTTCTTGTTCTTATGAAGCCTTCCCAATTTCTATGTTCGAGGTCAACTTCAAACAATCAATAAAAAGGAGAGTACAAATGTTTTGTGTTGAGCCATACTGAATGTAGATTTCAAGGTAATTCATAAATTCAAGACAATAGATGGTGGGTGCTAGCCAGTGCATGTTTTCAGTGAGGCTGTAACAGCATATGCTCAACAGGTGTAATCCGCTTTAATCTGGACTTCTTACTGTGGCCATGTAGATTTGGAAGATAGGGAGCGAATGAAAGCAAAAAACAGTCGTTGTTGCTCTTTTAATTATTATTATAGGTTTTACATCAAATTAAGTCTTTAAATGATCTTTAAAGTAATTTAATTACGTGGAAAGAGATTCTGTTTGGATTTGATTATTGGATTGAGAGTAGCAGATTACCAACCAACAATTTCATTACACTGGGAAGAGAAACTACTGGAGTAAACAATCCAGCTTTTTCATGTATCGGGAACATCGATAATCAGGTAAGATATTGCACTGTACAGGTTGTGAAGGAATGTATTTATTTGTCATCAAAAATTGGAGGCAGCCTACAAGGCCAAAACCTTAACTAAAGGAAAGGCTGTTGCAAGCTGTGATCCAACTAATTTAAAATGCTTTGAAAAATATTCACTCAATTATTTACATGAGATTTTTTCTTGGCAGCTATAGTTAAAAGAAAAAAACCTCTTCCATTATCTGCTTGAATGCATAAGTATAGAATGTTGCAAAGTAAACACCATGTTAATTTTGAATCCTACAGCGAGCGTTTGATTAATTGCATCATAAAAACCAGTGTCATTATTGTGACTTCTCAAATTTAAAATAGATCCAACCCCCTGTTATGAAGACCAGTGCACTAATGCACATTGAGAAGGGGGGAAAAAAAGCTTCTTACACTTAGTTTGGTTGTCATGTTTTTTTTTTTTTTATCATTTTTTAAAGCTTCTTTTAATGTATATTATTTCAAAATCCTTGTAAGGAAATTGAGGCACAATTAGTTTGCCATGCATGTTAAGATAATTTAATGATAAACAATGCTATTTATGGTATTGATGTTAGTATATTGTCTGATAGTGATCCTAACAAGATATATTTTGGAGTTTTGGGAAGGGAATAATATTTCACACCCTGAAATAGAATATATTTCATGGACATGCTAGAAGGTGCCATAATTCTGTGCTCCTACGAGAATGGCTAATAGGCCTGACAGCAAAGTACTATATTTGGAGCAAAAATAAACCAACATGCAACTTCTAACATCAAGAGACATTAGTCAGGTTAGACACCATATTGAACTAAACATTTATAAAAACGAGAGTTACCGTTTTTGCGATGGCATGCACGTAATTTTCACAACTTCTGTGCAGTTTTTGTTGACGTTCCGTTTACTTGTTAAACAATACTACAATCCATTGAATGCACTGTATTTCTGTCGCTCATTTGTCTCGTTTTCATTCCTGTCAAAAATTAAATATGTCACTACCCTGACTTAAGTCTACGTTGGCGGCAAAATCATGCTCTGGCGCACTTTTTGACAAGAGGAACTGGGTAGCTTGCACTCAAACGTGGATAATTGATCTGCCAAACTGATGTGTGGCAATTCAAATTTGCCAAAGCCTATGTACTAAAGCACTGAATATTTGAGAACCCAAATGCACTTCTTATTTCCCCAGGTGTTCACCATGCTCACCAGCTTTGTGGATGGAATATGCTGTTGCTTTACAGGGAAGTCCACTAACGTTGTGGTCCCTGTTGAGTCTTCCGAGCCCACCGATGGTTTTGAATTTGTTGAGGTAAAGCCAGGAAGGGTTCTGAGAGTTCAGCATATTATCCCAGACAGACCAGTGGTTGAGGAGCCAGGTACTGGGGAAGGGGGTACGGTCAGCTGCAAGCGCAAAATCTCAATGTACCGAAATGGACAGCTTCTGATCGAGAACGTCAATGAAGCCACCCATCCAGAGTTGGTCCACTATCAGAATGGAGACAGCACTGTGGATACGGATGTTTCCAATTGTGAGGCTCCCCCAGCAGCTCAGGCTTCTGAACACACACCGGGGTCGGCGACAGCAGGACAGGCTATGGATAGCAAACCTGCACCTCAGCAGAATCTGCAGCAAGTGCAGCGCAGACGGCGCAAACCCAAATGCTCCATTGTGATTGACTGTGAGCGGAAGATCACATGCTGCAAAGGTACTCACCCTGATGTGGCCTTGTTTTTCATTCATGGAGTTGGGGGGTCGTTGGATATCTGGGGAAACCAACTGGACTATTTCTCCCAACTTGGTTACGAGGTCATTGCCCCAGACTTGGCTGGCCATGGTGCAAGTTCTGCTCCTCAGATTCCCGCTGCCTATACCTTTTACGCTTTGGCTGAGGACGTTAGGATCATCTTCAAGCGATATGCAAAGAAGCGTAATATTTTAGTAGGACACTCTTATGGGTAAGAAAATGTATGCCTTTGCCTGATAAATGCAGATACATTTCCTTACTTGTTTTAGCATTTTCTTTCTTGTCTTGCAGTGTCTCGTTTTGTACCTTCTTGGCTCATGAGTATCCAGAACAAGTTCATAAAGTTGTGATGATTAATGGTGGAGGTCCTACAGCACTCGAGCCCAGTCTCTGCTCTGTCTTCAGCTTGCCCACGTGTGTCCTTAATTTCCTGTCCCCGTGTCTCACCTGGAGCTTTCTCATGTAAGAATAATGGTCCACAGGACACATTTGTCATTGCCTTGCCCTTTGCCAGCTTGAACGTGAGTGTCTATGTTTGGCAACTACCTTGTTAATTTAATTAAATAGTTTTAGCAAAATCCTATAGTATACTACAGCCGTGGCCAAAAGTTTTGAGAATGACACAAATATAAATTTGTCCATTTGTTTTTAGATCTTTTTGTCAGATGTTACTATAGTATACTGAAGTATAATTACAAGAATTTCATAAGTGTCAAAGGCTTTTATTGACAAATGCAATAAGTTTATGCAAAGACTCCGTATTTGCAGTGTTGACCCTTCTTTTTCAAGACTTCTGCAGTTCACCCTGGCATGCTGTCAATCAACTTCTGGGCCACATCCTAACTGATCTACACCTAAAATTTGCACATAATGTACAGTACCTGTACATACAAAACTGTCTATTGTAATATACCTGCACATACAATTGTCGATTTATATATTTTTATTCCTTATTTACTTGTTCTATTTTTTTCCAAATGCACTTCTTATTTCCCCAGGTGTTCACCATGCTCACCAGCTTTGTGGATGGAATATGCTGTTGCTTTACAGGGAAGTCCACTAACGTTGTGGTCCCTGTTGAGTCTTCCGAGCCCACCGATGGTTTTGAATTTGTTGAGGTAAAGCCAGGAAGGGTTCTGAGAGTTCAGCATATTATCCCAGACAGACCAGTGGTTGAGGAGCCAGGTACTGGGGAAGGGGGTACGGTCAGCTGCAAGCGCAAAATCTCAATGTACCGAAATGGACAGCTTCTGATCGAGAACGTCAATGAAGCCACCCATCCAGAGTTGGTCCACTATCAGAATGGAGACAGCACTGTGGATACGGATGTGTCCAACTGTGAGGCTCCCACCGCAGGCCAGGCTGCTGAGCCCACACCGGGGTCGGGGGCCGCAGGACCGGCTACAGATACCAAACCTGCACCGCAGCAAGTGCAGCGCAGACGGCGCAAACCCAAACGCTCCATTGTGATTGACTGTGAGCGGAAGATCACATGCTGCAAAGGTACTCACCCTGATGTGGCCTTGTTTTTCATTCATGGAGTTGGGGGGTCGTTGGATATCTGGGGAAACCAACTGGACTATTTCTCCCAACTTGGTTACGAGGTCATTGCCCCAGACTTGGCTGGCCATGGTGCAAGTTCTGCTCCTCAGATTCCCGCTGCCTATACCTTTTACGCTTTGGCTGAGGACGTTAGGATCATCTTCAAGCGATATGCAAAGAAGCGTAATATTTTAGTAGGACACTCTTATGGGTAAGAAAATGTATGCCTTTGCCTGATAAATGCAGATACATTTCCTTACTTGTTTTAGCATTTTCTTTCTTGTCTTGCAGTGTCTCGTTTTGTACCTTCTTGGCTCATGAGTATCCAGAACAAGTTCATAAAGTTGTGATGATTAATGGTGGAGGTCCTACAGCACTCGAGCCCAGTCTCTGCTCTGTCTTCAGCTTGCCCACGTGTGTCCTTAATTTCCTGTCCCCGTGTCTCACCTGGAGCTTTCTCATGTAAGAATAATGGTCCACAGGACACATTTGTCATTGCCTTGCCCTTTGCCAGCTTGAACGTGAGTGTCTATGTTTGGCAACTACCTTGTTAATTTAATTAAATAGTTTTAGCAAAATCCTATAGTATACTACAGCCGTGGCCAAAAGTTTTGAGAATGACACAAATATAAATTTGTCCATTTGTTTTTAGATCTTTTTGTCAGATGTTACTATAGTATACTGAAGTATAATTACAAGAATTTCATAAGTGTCAAAGGCTTTTATTGACAAATGCAATAAGTTTATGCAAAGACTCCGTATTTGCAGTGTTGACCCTTCTTTTTCAAGACTTCTGCAGTTCACCCTGGCATGCTGTCAATCAACTTCTGGGCCACATCCTAACTGATCTACACCTAAAATTTGCACATAATGTACAGTACCTGTACATACAAAACTGTCTATTGTAATATACCTGCACATACAATTGTCGATTTATATATTTTTATTCCTTATTTACTTGTTCTATTTTTTTTTTACATTTTTTTTTCTGTTTTTTGTTCTGTCACTGTCATTCTGTTACACTGTGGAAGCTTCTGTCACGAAAACAAATTCCTCGTATGTGTAAACATACCTGGCAATAAAGCTCATTCTGATTCTGATTCATTCTGATGGCAGCCCATTCTTGCATAATCAATGCTTGGAGTTTGTTAGAATTTGTGGGTTTTTGTTTGTCCACCCGCCTCTTGAGGATTGGCCACAAGTTCTCAATGAGATTAAGGTCTGGGGAGTTTCCTGGCCATGGACCCAAAATTTAGATGTTTTGTTCCCCGAGCCACTTAGGGTGCTTTCACACCTGTAGATCAATTGCTTTGTTCCGAAACAGGGATTAAAATTATTACAATGTTGCTTTTTATTCTTGGTGCGGTTCGCTATCACACGGCAAAATTTCTAAACGGACCAAACATTGGTCAACGTTCCACGGTTTATTTTCCGGGATTCCACTTAGCTGTCACACATGTCATCCGTCAGGATGGAACGACAGCAGCTTTTTTTTTTGTAGCTGTCCTTATATTAATTTATCATTTTGAGCAGGAGTCCGGGATTCATCGGGAAAACATTTTAAAAAATGCACCTACTAGGAAGAAGAGCAATAAGACGGCATTATAAAATGAAAAAGTGCGCTTTTTTTATTTTGAATGGCGAAGACGTGCTCACCCACAGACATTCACAGGTTCATTTTGAAGTATTAGCAAAACTAATGCTTTTCACGGAACTTACGTAATTACCCATTATACATTGTGATATAGCCTGGTTCATTGGTCCGTTAGATCGGATTGCTTTCTCACTACAACCGAACTGCTCCAGAGTTCGTTTTTAATCGAGCCGAGACCACCTCGTTCAGGCGATCTCGGACCGATTGTTTTGACGCGGATCCGGGCGCAATTGCCGTGTTCACATATGCCCAAACGAACCGAGCTAAGGGGGGAAACGCGCCAGGTTCCGAAACAACAAGCCAGGTGTGAAAGCACCCTTAGTTATCCATTTTGCCTTATGGCAAGGTGTTCCAGCATGCTGGAAAAGGCATTGTTCATCACCAAACTGTTCTTGGATGATTGGGAGAAGTTGCTCTCGGAGGATGTTTTTGTACCATTCTTTACTCATGGCTGTGTTCTTAGGCAAAATTGTGAGAGAGCCCACTCCCTTGGCTGAGAAGCAACCCCACACATGAATGGTTTCAGGATGCTTTACTGTTGGCATGATACAGGACTGATGGTAGCGCTCACCTTTTCTTCTCCGGACAAGCTTTATTCCGAATGCCCCAAACAATCAGAAAGGGGAATAATCAGAGAAAATGACTTTACCCCAGTCCTCAGCAGTCCAATCCCTGTACCTTTTGGAGAATATCAGTCTGTCCCTGATGTTTTTCCTGGAGAGGAGTGGGTTCTTTGCTGCCCTTCTTGATACCAGGCCATCCTCCAAAAGTCTTTGCCTCACTGTGAATGAATGAATGAATGAATGATGCATTTATATAGTGCTTTATTGTACACCCAAAGCACTTTACAATCATGTGGGGGGGTCTCTCCTCACCCACCACCAGTGTGCAGCATCCACCTTAAAAAATGCACCTACTAGGAAGAAGAGCAATAAGACGGCATTATAAAATGAAAAAGTGCGCTTTTTTTATTTTGAATGGCGAAGACGTGCTCACCCACAGACATTCACAGGTTCATTTTGAAGTATTAGCAAAACTAATGCTTTTCACGGAACTTACGTAATTACCCATTATACATTGTGATATAGCCTGGTTCATTGGTCCGTTAGATCGGATTGCTTTCTCACTACAACCGAACTGCTCCAGAGTTCGTTTTTAATCGAGCCGAGACCACCTCGTTCAGGCGATCTCGGACCGATTGTTTTGGCGCGGATCCGGGCGCAATTGCCGTGTTCACATATGCCCAAACGAACCGAGCTAAGGGGGGAAACGCGCCAGGTTCCGAAACAACAAGCCAGGTGTGAAAGCACCCTTAGTTATCCATTTTGCCTTATGGCAAGGTGTTCCAGCATGCTGGAAAAGGCATTGTTCATCACCAAACTGTTCTTGGATGATTGGGAGAAGTTGCTCTCGGAGGATGTTTTTGTACCATTCTTTACTCATGGCTGTGTTCTTAGGCAAAATTGTGAGAGAGCCCACTCCCTTGGCTGAGAAGCAACCCCACACATGAATGGTTTCAGGATGCTTTACTGTTGGCATGATACAGGACTGATGGTAGCGCTCACCTTTTCTTCTCCGGACAAGCTTTATTCCGAATGCCCCAAACAATCAGAAAGGGGAATAATCAGAGAAAATGACTTTACCCCAGTCCTCAGCAGTCCAATCCCTGTACCTTTTGGAGAATATCAGTCTGTCCCTGATGTTTTTCCTGGAGAGGAGTGGGTTCTTTGCTGCCCTTCTTGATACCAGGCCATCCTCCAAAAGTCTTGGCCTCACTGTGAATGAATGAATGATGCATTTATATAGTGCTTTATTGTACACCCAAAGCACTTTACAATCATGTGGGGGGGTCTCTCCTCACCCACCACCAGTGTGCAGCATCCACCTGGATGATGCGATGGCAGCCACTGGACAAAGGCACCAGTGCGCTCACCACACACCAGCTACAGCTGGAGAGGCGAGAGAGTCATAGAGCCAATCAAGTGGATGGGGATTATTAGGAGGCCATGATAGACAAGGGCCAGTGGTGGCAATTTGGCCAGGACACCGGGGGTTACACCCCTACTCTTTACAAGAAGTGCCATGGGGTTTTTATTGACCACAGAGAGTCAGGACCTCGGTTTAACATCTCATCTGAAGGACGGTGCTTTTTGACAGTATAGTATCCCCATCACTATACTGGGGCGTTAGGACCCACACAGACCACAGGGTGAGCACCCCCTGCTGGCCTCACAAACACCTCTTCCAACAGCAACCTAGTTTTCCCAGGAGGTCTCCCATCCAGGTACTGACCAGGCTCAACCCTGCTTAGCTTTAGTGGGCAACCAGTCTTGGGCTGCAGGGTGATATGGCTGCACACTATGTGTGCAGATGCTCTCACACCTGCCTGCTGCCATTCCTGAGCAAGCTCTGCACTGGTGGTGCCCCGATCCCGCAGCTTAATCAACTTTAGGAGACGGTCCTGGCGCTTGCTGGACTTTCTTTCAGGTGCCCTGAAGCCTTCTTCACAGCAATTGAACCTCTCCCCTTGAAGTTCTTGATGATCCGATAAATTATTGATTTAGGTGCAATCTTACTAGCAGCATTATCCTTGCCTGTGAAACCCTTTTTGTCCAAAGCAATGATAACTGCACGTTTCCTTGCAGGTAACCATAGTTAACAGAGGAAGAACAATGATTTCAAGCACCACCCTCCTTTTAAAGCTTCCAGTCTGTTATTCAAACTCAATCAGCATGACAAAGTGATCTCTAGCCTTGTCCTCATCAACACTCTCACCTGTGTTAATGACAGAATCACTGACATGATGTCAGCTGGTCCTTTTGTGGCAAGGCTGTAATACAGTGGAAATGTTTTTCGGATTAAGTTCATTTTCATGGCGAAGAGGGACTTTGCAATTAATTGCAATTCATCTGATCACTCTTCGTAACATTCTGGAGTATATGCAAATTGCCATCATAAAAACTGAGGCAGCAGACTTTGTGATTTTTTTTATTTTTTTTATTTCAATTTGCTCTGCTCTTGCATGTGGGCCAAATTTAATGGAACTGTTTGAATGTACGGCCATTGTATATTTACTAGTTGGTGTACGACTGCAGGAAACACATTAAAGGAACAGCTCAGATGGATGTTTGTCCCCGAGCAGAATGGGTTTTACTTGCTTTCGAGTTATATGAGTACCCCTAGAGGTTGTTTTTTATATACCTACACATAACGCCAGCCCATTCAAATAAATGATTTGCACTCTCTGGGATATGTAAATGGTATAAAAAGTGCAATTGTATTGTCAGCCCAAAATTGATAACCTCAAGATGAAATATTATTCAAAATTCTGCGATTTAACAGTGCAATACTGTTACTGGAAGCATTTACTGTAAATAGACTGATCTATTGTATGCATTTATTTTATTTGACATCAGATGATGTCAATTTCTGAGTTATTCAGTGGTGGTGGACAGCAGAATATTGTTCTGGCCATGTGAAAAGCGGTTTTGTTTTTTTTTACTTCACATTAGTTTAATCTTTTTGTTGAAAGTACTCTAGCCCCATCATTGAAATAGTGATAAAAAGGTGGTTTAAAATAAAAAGCTTGATCTGCTTCTGCCTCACATTCTGATATATTACCTACTAAACAGTTCATATACTTTTAATATGAAGCAAAGATGCTGACTTTGATAGGCTATCTATTGTATCGACAGGGTTTCTGCGGGTTAAGAACCTTTTAAGACCAAGTGGTGGGAAAAAAAAAAAATGGAACACCATAAATATATTCTGCAAACGGAAATGTTTTGTACTAACAACACTTCAAAGTTTGAATATGAAACTTCCAATTTATCTTCAATACATTTCACACAAAACTTTTATGGTTTGAATGCCTCTGCTCTAAACTAGAATATGAAAATACCTTTTACTGTTACCTTCTGATCACTATAAAAGAAG